ATCTAGACCGACTGTGTACCCTATCTGTGCCATACAGCAACACTCCTTAACATGCCCACTGCAATCTATCGACATTGTACTTTTTTTTAATCACCCGCTTTTGCCTGATTTTGACCTACTTTCGTCCACTGCCGAGAGTGCTCGATGTTCTGCCGTGTGGTGACAAGGAAAATGGTTTTCGAACCCTATGTGGAATAAGGTGGGGTTTTGCTAGAAAAATATCCAGTCTACAATTGAACAATATGGGTGATTGAAAAAAGTACAATGTCGATAGATTTCATTGGGCATGCAAGTACCAGGAATTTCGGGCGAAACAAAGCAGCCTTTTCCGGCCTTGAGCGCCTGCTGCGTGGTCCTGCACCTAGAAACATACAACGCTCTTCGCAAACGTTCATGTTTGTGCCGGGTAGCCTGACCATGCCGCCCAGACGTCAGAATTACATTTGGAGTAGTTTTCTCGCTCATCGGTGGTCGCGGCGAGGCGGGTTTTCTTGGACCTCCCTTTTTCCGGGAAGAGGGTGAGTATACTCGCTTTTGTCTAGTGCCCAGAAAATATGAGGTTACCACGTGCATATATCTGTATTGTTGCTTTGCGTAGTACCGCTGCCACTGATCCTCACATCATGTGCAGTGTCGCAACCGCTGTGAATAGCAGAGAGCTTGGTAGGCATCTTGTGTGTTGTGGGAGAAGTACAAGACATTCGAACGCAGAAACACCACGCACGAGACCCCGCGTGGAATGGGTCCACAGAATATTGAACCTGTAAGGATTGGCTTTGGTGATGAGCAACATGCAGTATCAAACGCACACGAATGCGGTTTTCCCTATGATTTTGGTGTGTTTGGTGTGTAAATTCAAATTGTTCGCGAACTAGAAAACCCGGGCAAAGACAAGCTCCCTTCATCCCCCCCCCACCCCCCCCTCGTTCTAAACCTAAGTGGGTTGGCGCTTTTGGCAAAACGCTTAAAAACACGCCACCCCAAATATGGTCCCCATAGTATCCGCCCCCCCCGGTGTTTGCCATCGGGGTTGGGTTTTCGTCGCTTGGCAACGACGTTGTAAAACAAGCCAATTCACTTCGTGAACTCGGCAACCAGGTCACCGTTTTTTTCTTTCCTCTGTTTTTTTTGGCGGTAACCATAATGGTGTGCGAGTAGATCATGCTGTGCGGGGTCGAGAACCTTCACTCCGCGCAAGGGGGATGATCGTACCACGTTGTGTTAAAATGGTCAAGCACCCTCGAGGCAGTTACACAGTGCTTACAACTGTCTCTGGAAGTGAAAGCACCAGAAAATAAATTAATTCATACGCAGCTGTCATCCGTACGCAAGGAAGTAAGCACAAGATGCCGAACACCCTTAGCAGGATGCAGCGCACCCTTCATGCGACTCGCCGAATATCTCACGGCGCTTCGCGCTTGGTGATGTGAGAGCCTGGTCCGGTGAGAACCCGGCGTGCTCCGTCCCGGCTTTGTAGGGATGCGAGGTCAATGGTCTAACGACTACGGCATGCACGACGATGAGTACACCCCCGTAGTATGCGCTACCAAAGACGCGTGACGCATGGACAAATGGAGTGAGGATAGCTGTTTTTCGGAAACCTCACAGGTTGAGTGATGTAGGAGATTGCCGGACATAGACGTGTTGAGTGATTATCGCTGTATACTGAAACCTCAAGGGTCGAGTGAGGTTTGAGATTGCCAGACACATGGATGGACGGGTTGAGTGGGAATAGCTGTATACTGAAACCCCACGGGTTGAGTGATGTTGGAGTGCCGGACAAATAGACGCGTTGGGTAAGGATAGACACATACTGAACCTCACAGGTGATTTGTGATGGAGATTGCCAGACACCTAGACGTGTTGAGTGAGGATAGCTGCATACTGAAACCTCACAGATGCATTGGTTTTTGAGTTTGCCAGACGCATAGACGCGTTGAGTGGGGATAGCTGCATGCTGAAACCTCACAGATGGATTGTTTTGTGATTTTGCCAGACGCATAGACGCGTTGAGTGGGGATAGCTGCATGCTGAAACCTCACAGATGGATTGTTTTGTGATTTTGCCAGACGCATAGACGCGTTGAGTGGGGATAGCTACATACTGAAACCTCACGAGTTGAGTGATTGATGTTGGATGGTGCCAGACACATAGACGCTTTGCGTGAGGATAGACACATACTGAGACCTCATGGGTTGAGTGACGTATGCGATTGCCGAACACATAGACGCATTGAGTGAAGAATGCTGCATACTGAAACCTCACAGGTTGATTTGTATTGGAGAATGCCGGACACATAGACGCGCTGAGTGAGGATAGCTGTATGCTGAAAATCCACAGTAGCCATAGTGAGGGGACCATTCGAGAATGCAGCACACATAGACCCGACCCCCAACCCGTACCCGAACCCCCCCTGAAACGTAAACCCGAACCCCAACCCGTGAGGATAGCTTGAAGTGAATCAATAAAACATAGAGCCATCAAAGCAAAGCTTATTACTCACGTCGAGCAATCTGAACGATCAGACCAACCAAGCAAAAACTGCGGAGCTAGATGTGCGGCACGCACACTGCATTGTTTTCGATTGGAGAGAGGCGAGTTCAAAGCAGAAAGGAATTGTTGGCCAAACGTTCGGCAGATAGGTCTACTCGGGAGCGTATGTGGGGTAGCAACCCATGGTGGAGCGTACATGAGAAGCTGGACGTTGGTGTACGCCCCATCCCGGCGTGTGAGTAGGATCTTAGGCTATGCAAGTCGTTCCTGAACTTATTGTGGTGAAAATGACTTCCTGTACCGCGGGACTTGGGAGATGATAAAGTGGGTGGTCGGGGGACGTCTGGATGTTTGCTAAGCAGAGCGCCCGGCACAAGGCTGGGGTACTTGTGCCAGGAGGTGTGAACTTTGATCTAGACTACGAGCCTATGTTGGAGGCGCTACTTAGCGTCGGTATGCTGGTAAAAGAACTGAAATGAACCACAACCCCCGCCGGACACTCGGAATGGGAAGGCCGAGTATTCCGTATACCTTCCTGAAAAAACACGAAAAACAAGTGGCCACGGTCCAGTTGCCGTAGAGATCATGAGGATG